CTCCAACCTAGTAGCGACGGCCTCCAACCTACTAGCGATGGCGTCCAACCTAGTAGCGATGATCGCCTCCAACCTAGTAGCGACGGCCTCCAACCTACTAGCGATGTGTGAGCGACGCGAACGGTCTTGACCGCGTCGACGGTCAAACGCGCACGCGCAGCTGTTTATCGCTCACGAGTTCAGTCCGAGCGGTCGTTCACGCGGTGAAACAGAGCTAAGCGGCTACCTACAGCTACCTACCGAGCTCAACCTCAAACCATTCAGCGGCTTGAGCCAAAAGTGAAACACATGCAACTACTAGAGGGCTACGCATGCTTCTATCCACAGATGGCGTCCAACCTAGTAGCGATGGCCTCCAACCTAGTAGCGACGGCCTCCAACCTACTAGCGATGGCGTCCAACCTAGTAGCGATGGCCTCCAACCTAGTAGCGACGGCCTCCAACCTACTAGCGATGGCGTCCAACCTAGTAGCGGTGGTCTCCAACCTAGTAGCGACGGCCTCCAACCTACTAGCGACGGCCTCCAACCTACTAGCGACGGCCTCCAACCTACTAGCGATGGCGTCCAACCTAGTAGCGGTGGTCTCCAACCTAGTAGTGATGGCCTCCAAGTCTGTCCGAGCCACTTGAATGGTTTGGTGGTGACACTGCCGCGATGGAGGGAGTTTGCTTTGTCAAAGTGGTCGTCACGATGGAGGTGCTCACGGTAGGTGTTGATGGACCTTCACGGAGGCGCAAGCTCAGCCTGCTAGCTTCCATTTTCCCAGACATGATAAAATCTCACAAATTATTTACTGACTGTAAGCGGATTTCTGTTGTTTTCTGCATCATTTTTGGGCAAATTGCCCTGCCTTGCCCAGAGAGGGCTGGCCGCACCATGTCATCCTCCACATCCCCCAGCCCATGTGCCTGTGGCAAATATTTGTTGTTGCACAGAATGACACACTCAAGAAAAAGTGCGTACCACCTGACTCCTCAAGCCTGACGAAATCTCAGCAAAAGGAAACCTAAGAAGTTAGGTAACACTGCAGCATTGTGCCGCAAAAGTCTCCAAATGTGGTAGAAGTGTCAAGACTCAAGTTCCAAAACTCAACGAAATGCAAGTCTGCCGGATACATCGCCCTTTACTGCAGCACGGCAGAAACAACCTCCGAGACACTAGGTTGGATCGTAGTTAAGCAAACACCACACACTTCTTGAGAAAGCAGGTATTCTACCAGCATCCAGGATTGTGATGGCCGCATGTCCCCTGCTAAGAGTCCGAATCTCTAACTCAAATCGGAAGACAACCTATGACTCCAAGGTGTACACACACATAACACATGCTGCACAACATGCTGCAGTGGTGGAGGACGCAAGAGTTGTGGCTTTCAAAACGTCTCATGCCTGAAACAGCGTTGCTAGGCCATCCTTCGCCTGAGCCACTCCAAGAGAAGATCAGCAAGCTGCAAGGGCAAATGCAAACATCAAAGCAGCATGGAGGCCATCGCTATTAGGTTGGAGGCCATCGCTAGGTCGGAGGCCATCACTACTAGATTGGAGGCCATAGCTATCAGGTTGTCATCTTTGCCGATTCAATGCTTGAGTCTGGAAACATGACGAAGATCCAGCGAGGTGGTGGTGACAGAGTTGTGCTGGAGTCCTTGGACGTCTGAAGGAGAGGGCTTTGGGGACGCAAATTACACAGGGCCGCGCTTGGCTCAATGCTTGGTTCATCCAGTTTCGCACACGTGCAAGGCAATGGCTGCGCCTTGGGTCTGAAGCAGTGTGGCATCCGCCTCTGCAGCCAGAATGGCAGCACTGAACTCACCTTGGTCACTCAGATCTTAAGGTGAACATGTACAAAGAAATATTAATGAAATAAGTACATATATATACTTCGGTACACCATGTTGCCCAGTGTTGCGTTGAAAGGCAGTTGTTGTCAAACAGAATCAAAGGGTTTCAGGTGTTGTCAAACAACTCGCAGAAAGCGGTCTGTTTGCTCAACTCCATCCTCACCTTTCACAAAGAGTCAAAGGGCCTTCTGTACGAATTTCTTCTAATCGACGCTTGATGAAATCCTGGACCCAACGGCTTGTGCTATCAAACTGACAGCTGCTGGCAAAAACCAACAAGCATCTGCATCGCAAACAACCACTCCTTCTCTGTATCATCGAGCTTCTTTACTTCCACCTGCACTCCTTTGGTTCTTGCAGCATGCATGGCCACCCAGCGGGCTTGTATCCGCCATCTGACCTGGCACACCAAGAGATGCACAAGTTGTGAGACCGGTGGCCAGTCCACAGCAAAGTAGTGCTTCGCTCTGCAGTTTTGTGCCATGTCATGCCTCTGCAAAGGCTGCAACAGCCAAATGCAAGACTGCCAAAATCGCCAAAGTGAAGACCAGCGCCAAGCCACGCAAGTTGTACCTGTTCACCTCCCAGAACATCCACTACAAAGCTGAAAGGGACTGAAAGGGGCACAGTGTGCCTTGATTCGTCAGCTCAGAAAGTATGTTTCAAGATGTTTCAAGTCAATGGTCATGGCTTTGGCGCAAGACATCAAGACAAAGGAAGCAAAGGAAAGTGGCATCGAAGCCCTCCATTCAGAGACTACAACAGAACGCCTATCAGAACTACGCCATGCATCATGTTCTGAGGTGCAACGTCGGGTGCTGTTCTTAAGTCGGGAAGAATGGAAAGAACAAGGAAAGGCCTTGCTAGTAGCTTCTTGCTCCTAGTAGTAAAGGCCAGGTGTTACTAGTAGCTTCTTGCTCCTAGTAGTAAGGCCTTGTCTACTCTGCAAAACCTTGTCACAGCATTGGCTCATATTGAATAGAATCCAGGAAACTGAAACTCACCACGCGACCAACCATGGAGCCTTGTCCCACCAAGACACTGCATACTCTCGCGTTGTGATCGTTACTTGAGGTGGAAAGGGTGTCAATTCGGGCCTGCAAACATGATCCAGCGAATCAGCTTTGCACACAACTTCTAATCAGCTTCCGTCGAAACAGGGTTGCAAATTGGAAAGAGTCACGATGCAGTTGCAGGACGCAAGTTGTTCAACGACTTGTCCTCCTCTCGGCTATGGCCATAGCAGGATGCAACGCCCAACCTTCGCACTCCTTGGAGGACGTTACTAGTAACAAAGGGCATCGCTACTAGGAGCAAGGACGCTACCAGTAGCTCCTGGCCATACTGCTAGCAGCAAGAAGCTACTAGTAGCTCCCGAGACTTGTTAACACCCAATGCGCCGAAACTGGTTTTGTGGTCTGATGGTGAAGTTGCTTGGTCCTGTGAATCCAAATTGAATTTATAGAAGAAACCGGGAAGCCGATGGTCTTTGATAAGGCCCTTACATTTTTTGCATATCTATCTATCTATGAAATATATAATAGCTTGGTTCAGCGAGTCCGGTGAGTCCAGTGTCCCCGGGTCCTTCCAGTCTGGAGCTTTGCTATTCTTTTTATATCAAATCAGTGTCAATGGATGATTCTCCCATGCTGAGTGCGCAGGTATTAGTGCAAGGTCTTGGCTGGCCCCTTGAGTCAAGGCATTGCGATTTGGTTTGGTTTTCAGCAAAAGGGGACAATGCTAATGATACAGGATTCCAATGAATAGTGAGCCAACGGTCAGTGCCTGGACCTCACTTCTACGGATGGCCTGTCCTTCTGCTGTCCAACCTAGAAGCCAACCTACTAGCGATGGCCTCCAACCTGAAAGCGATGGGCTATCCAGCATTTCATGCATAGTTTACTGTCTCTTGCAACCTAAACCGGGAGCCAAGCTCCAAGCGACAAACATGATTTTAAAAGAATAGTCAGGCTTGTCCCGGCATGAGTGGCGCACACACACACACATACATATATGGTGATAATATGAATTGCATGGAATTGCTTTGTTGAGATTTGCTACAATAAATATCATCAAATTGGGGCACGTGATCACCCAGCGGTGTGTTATTGAGCTATTGCGTATTCAATGCCTTGTGATGCCTTGTGCATGTATGTGTGGAGGTGCAAGCCTACATAGACAAATTGCTACACTCATGCCTCTTGTTTCAAGCAGGCCATGTAACATGTGCGGTTGAAGACTCAAGGAAAATCCATATATATATATATTATATATATGTGTAAACAACAAGTAAATATGAATGAAGACAACAGAAAGGAATAGAATTATTTTTCCAAAAGGTGAGAGATCAGAGAGTTTGTAACCACATCATATCAAGGAAAGAAAATGAAGGGAAGCCAGAGACGGCAGAATTAGACAGAAGAACATAGTAAGCTCTGCTTATTCTATCTTTGCTGTTTCTTTATGTCCTCCATGCATGTTCCTTACAATCGTTGCTGCTCTTCTTCTTTTTGCAGCTGAACAGGTAGCATAACTTTGTTGATGCTTATTATTTGATTTCTTGTTATCTTGCCTTATGGAATGGACATACATATATAGCGTTTGTATATTTTTTCTGATATGCACTCATGATCCAACAAATAGATTATATTAGTTGTCATGCCTTTATTGGATCGCCTTATTAGTGTTCCTTTCTTATTTATAGTTTTTAGTAGAGAAACGTGCTATATGTTATGATAATAAAGAACAAATAATCATTATTACTTATTATATACTGATTATGAAACCCTATGCTTTTCATTTATCTGCACCATCTAGGAGGAAAAATCTACGCCTTTATATATGACAAACATTAAAGTTGTAAGTGTCCATGAAAATGAAGAAGCAAAGCAAGAAGAAGCACCAGAAATAACAGACGAGACACACCAAGAGAATTACCTCCATGGAAGCACAAATCAACTATGAATCAGGTGCTAAAGAGATTCAACTAGACCCATGGCAACAGTAAATCCACTGAATCATCTAGCACATAACTATCAGATATTGCAAAATGAATATATGACAGAAGCAACAATTTCTGCAAAGGAATGTTCAATAGCAAACCTCAGAACAAATAGTAATTCTGTTTGTCTAAAATATGTTTAATGGTTTCATTAGACTGAGGAACAGTTTTAAGATGAACTGAATTTACAAAGCTAGAGATTGCAGGATCATTGCATTTAACAACAGAGGCCTATATTCAAAGTCAAGTAGCAAAAGGTGGAGATGGTCGAGGTGGTGGAACTTATACAAATACTCAAATTGCTGAATGGTCAGCTTTTCAGCATTCAAAGCAAATTTATCAACAACATATAGTAAAACAATTACAGCAAAGTAGTGCAACAAGTTTATAAACTTCACCATGGAGTTTACAAACTATACTTGCTCACAACTCTTTGGTAGGGTGGTAGGGCCTGGTAGGGTAGGTAGGGGGGCCCCCCACCCTCCTTCAAGAAGACCAAAAAGACTTCACAGTAACCCCTCCCTTCCACTCTGCTTCAAGAAGACTTCTTAGTACCCCCGCTCTCCACTCTTCTTCAGGAAGACTTCTTAGTACACTCTCCCCCCACATAGTTTATAGACTTAACCCCTAACCATTTGGTGTTTAAACTGTTTGAATATGTTTGAATGATGATCTTAGATCATGTAGATGCAATCATGCACATATCATGTGATGCTGCACACATATGTACACATCATATGCACATGATGTGATGTGCATTGCTGTATACATATGCACAAAAATACATATGCACATGATGTGATGTGCATATGCATGCATGTATCCATAAGCAACCGCTGATCTTGGGGGGTACATATGTATTTATATATTGATAAATTCCGAAGAGGAGATGCTGACATGCCTCATCGAATGTGTTTTGTATTTTTTTCCCGGCCCAGGCTCGCAAAGAAGTTCGAAGTGACCGGACTGAAGCAAAGGCCATTGGCGACCTTCAAAGGGAACAGTTAGTGTTGCCCGACCCGAGACATCCCGAGACTTTCTTCAATCAAATAGAAAAATTGCATTCTTGTTGCGGAAAAGCACGTTCTAAAATTAAGCACATGACGCAAAAGCCGTCAGCTGTTATATATTGAATGATATTGAGTTATTCACCCTTGACTCATGACACGTCGCTGCTGCTACCGCTGCTCTCCATCGTTCCTTCGTATCACAAGCGCCTGGCTCTGCCACCAGCGTGCAACCTAGTGCAGGGACAAACCGCTGCAGCGGCTCTGACCAGGCAACGCACTCCAACTCTGAAGGATCAACGCCTGAAAAGCTTAGAAATCTCCAAATCATGTCAAATTCAATTAATTCAAACAAGAACACACATGAAACGTAAGGCAAGAGAGAAAGGACAGCCGAGAATTCAGTGAAGCTGCCACAGTCTTGGGGTGGCAAGCATTCCACATCAGGACCTCAAGACTTCACAAATGATCACAACTTAGTCTCACATCGGTGTGGCTAGGCGTTTGTGCTCGTCAATACTACTAGCGTGGCACTTGTTTCTAATAGCTTCTTGTTACTACTAGTAAGGCACTTGTTACTACTAGCGTGGCACTTGTTCCTAGTGGCATATTTGATAACCCAGGAAAACATCTAGTTGATTGGATGCTGCCTGTTAACCCATTGTGGATCTGATGGTTTAGCTGAGCTGCACAACACTGCCCACAGGTCTGCCACAGTACTTGTGGTGGTTCGGGTTATGGTTGAGGTCCTTGGGATGGGTATTTCCCACTCCGGTCCACCTGCAGAATCTGCCCAATAGCTTGCATTCCACCAAGAGGGCAGCCCTTTGTCCAACGCTTCCAGCACAAGGTGTAGCGGTCTGAAGCCAGTGTTGTCGACCACTTTGAGAGCTGCTGGATCCAAAGCTGAGAATACGTCACTCAAATTCTGAGTGGGTGCCAACTTCGGCACCTCGGGAATCAACCATTCAAGTCATGGCAAACATTGACACATTCAGGCCCGTCAACTTTCATGCAACAGCAAAAGTCATTCCTTCCAAACAACTTTTCTTCTGTGATAAATCTGATTCAATAATCCATCAACCTATGTAGCAATGTACTTGCACCAGCAGTCTGATAAGACTGATGCAACTATGATGTGACCTTGCTGGCGGGGCGTTACTTCAAGGTTGTGGAGGTCTTTAAGTTTCGGAGACCTTGGCTCTTCTTGTTACTAATAGCGATGGCCTCCAACCTAACAGCGATGACCTCCAACCTAATAGCGATGGCCTCCAACCTAATAGCGATGGCCTTCACCCTAGTAGCAATGGTCTCCAACATTCTCCAACCTATTAGAGATGGCCTTCACCCTAGTAGCAATGGCCTCCAACCTAATAGCAATGGCCTCCACCCTAGTAGCGATGGCCTCCAGCCTAGTAGCAATGGCCATGGCCTCCAACCTAGTAGCTTCTTGTTACTAGTAGTAAAGAAAAGCAAAGAATGTCTTCTTGGATCATCGTGGACATGAATAGTACACCCAGTACCTACTCCAATCCTCAGGGCATATGTTGTGGGAGCGGTTGAGAGACGCATGGGCTCAGGTCGTGGCACGGCAGTCTCATTGCGCTACGTGCGGTGTCTTGGCTTCAGTTGATCATTGGTTCCAGTGTCCCACCTTCTCTTCATACTTTGGCATGTTTGGGGATTTGGCAACATGAGTTCATCTTCACGTGTTGGCCTCACGTAACCCAGTGGTGATTGAGCTGGAGAACTACTTTGCTCTCTGCGCGGCTCTGCTTGCGCCGAGCCCGTGCATTCGCGCATCCGAGAAAATGGAGATCTTAAACAGGTTGATCCGACAATCTCTGCACTGCGCCACTGCGCTCTTACATTCTTTGGGGGATGCTCGAATTCGCTTGTTGTCTCTCTTCTCAAACAATTTTTGTGACCCGTTTTCTATTCGATGCGTATAAAACACCATCTTTCATGTGTTTTTCTCGTTCTCCTCTTGCCTGGCACCAGCTGCTGAGAAGATCCGAGGCATCCAGCCCTCTCGCTGCCCAACTCTCAGCAATTGCCAGGTTGGACTTATCCAAGTCCAAAGCCAAGGCACGAGAGAAGACCTCATTTGCCGTTAGTTCTCAGTGAAACACTGAGCGAAACATAGTAAACCTCATCAAAGACACTGATCATCAAACTCACTCATGTCCGTTGAGCACTTGCAACGTAGGCAAAGTAGATCAAGAGGATCGAGATCAAATCAAACCAAAGTGTGTTTATCTCACCCTCTATGGCAGCCAATGTGTCAACATGTGTCAACCCTTCCAAGACTCCAAAGAGAGACCGAAATCAATCCTGATCTTTGACGCTGCTTTTCCTGCACGGTCCTGCCTCCAAGGGATCAGAGAAGGCCAGCTCAAGAGCTGACAGGAGGACACCAGAAGCAGCTTGTGTGAGAGGAAAAGGGCTAGCGCTTTGCGTGGTCGAAGTCATGGTGGCCGAGGTCGAAGTCACAGTCATTGTGCTGCTGGTCGTTGTCATCGTGAGCACAGTTTGCCATTCTCTGAGCACATCTCCTGCGACAAAGAGCTGATGGAGTTCTTGCCAGGAGCCCACCCAAGAGCTAAAGATCTCAGACATGGCCCAGATGAAGAAGATTGATCGCCTTGCATCAAGACTGTTAAGGACTGAGTATAGCATGGTAGATATAGGTAGATAAGAGAAGGAACAGGAATAGAAACAAGATGAAACAAGAATGGACATACCCACGTGGCCACACAAGGAAAATCCTATGAATCTCTTTGCAAGCTTGCCACTGTGGCGAAAGAAGGACAAGCCGACCACTGCTGCCTGGAAATCGCAAAGCCAAAGGCGAGCTTTCATTCAGCGACAGTTGCACCGAAGACACGCCCACAAGAAGCACTCCATTCGAATCGGACAGCTCAACATCGGCATAGAGAGGCAAAGCTGTCTCCGAGTCCACGCCACTGGGACACCAAGTGTCCCTTTGTGAGCGCTGTGCTGGATCGTCTCTCACGCACCACGCTACTGTGGTTGATGTCCCCGTGGTTGAGGTGGATGTGTTTTGCACCTGCCAGAAGACAATGTTTGGCCACAAATGCATTTGATGATGCTTCATATCAGTAGCTCTGGCTTATGTATATTGTTCTTTCAAGTTCTTTCTTCAGTCACCAAATGTTGACAAATTGGTCAAAGTCGAAGGAACATATGCATCTGCAAATGTGCCGTCCACGGTCCAATGTCTTCATTTCAAGAACTCACACCACACCCATACACACAAACACATTGCCTGGGTTGAACTCGTTGTGCTCCTGGACATGGTTGAGCTGAATGTTAAAGTTGTTGTGCTTGCTGTCTGGCTGGAAGTACCTCAATCGTGCATACTCCATTCCTTTCTGCGCATGGTCTGAAGATATTGAAGACACGGCCACCAACTCTTAACCGGACAAAGCAGCCGGACTTGATCTAGTTACCACAAAGAAACCTCTACCACTGAGATCCCCTATTTAAGAATTTGAGATTTGGAAAATGAAACCTTGAAAGGTGAGATGGTATGTCAAGAGTCTTGTGAGATTGAGTGAGGTTGTTGTTCTGGTAGAGCTTGTGGAGGACATGGTGTTCGTGGAGGACGTGCTGCCTGACGGAGCTCGTCTAAATGCGGCTGCCAAAAGTAGAAGACTGACATCAAAACAACACCTTCGGAGAATGAAAAGAACAAATGGACTGAACATGTTAGTCATTGCATCAGTCTTGTTCTTCCAAAAGTCTGATGGATGAACTTGTCGAGCTGGAAAACGTCGACCTGTGCTGGAGAAGTTCATGAAAATATCCTGCACCAAAAGGCCTGTGTGCGCAGTTTCTTTCTTTAGACCTTAGACCTTTCTTCTAGTCTTGTTGATTTTCTCTATGTACTCTTTAAAAATATGTTGAATCCAATCTTTGATCGTCTCTCTGAAGCGTCCCTTACGCCTTGTGCTAAGAATATAAAACATCCTTAGCGCCTTAGCCATCCTTGACTGCCAACTCCGACGCAGGCGACGCAAGCGGTGACTCATGACTCAGTCTCTGGCGTTGTCACCGTGGAGGTACTGAAGGTCTGCGTTGTGGAAGACTGGACAAGCGATGGATCAGCCAAAACCTGGCGACCACAGGTGTAAGTTCTTTTTCACTTAAGCACTGAGAATAAAAACAACAGCAATTGAGCAAATTCTCAAAACTTCTCAGATATACAGCCTCGAACCCCGACACCTGAGTAGTTTGCATACTCATACTCCTTATCTAGTCTGACCTCTCTTTTCTCTCACTAGGCTGGCCGTAGTGTAGGGAAACGAACGCCGTGTCAAGAATTGTCGAGTTTTGAGAGCAACAATTTTATGAGTTCTATTTTTTGATATGCTCAAGGTTCATAGATCCCCAGCCTTAGCCCACAGTCATTTGTTTCTTAATTTTATATCTTGCTTACAGGGGTACTATCATTCTTGAGACTATTGAAAAACAAACATACACTTAAAGTATCATCTTAAAAATAACAAAGGATCGATTCAACTCTATCCTGGTAATATACTTCATAACTTTTTGACACCTAGAATTGTTCAATGACACATTTCCTCCAGTTTAAACAGTGGACAGTGGTTGTCCTGGCAGTTTGTTCTCTCAAGCATTAGTATATGGTCTACAGTTGCTTTTGCTCACGCCAGCTATAACGACCTTGGGGTTTTAGCGTTTTTTTGCTAATGGCTACAACACTTTTCTCAGTGGCCCTCCGAAATCCATGCGCATATTTTACCACGCCTGTCACGTGTTTTTCTTTTTGGTTTCCTTGCTTATAACCACAACTTTCTCCCCAATGGCCTCCGAATTCATGTCAACTCATGTATCTATTTTCACACGTCTGTCACGTTTTTGGAGCTGTGTGGGCTGGGATGAAGTTGGAAGGATCATAACGTTCGGTATCTAATGTATTCTGCTGTTAGAAAACTGATGATCTTCGACTCATGTCCACGTAACCTAACTTGAAGACATCGCTGTCTACACTACATGAGGAAAGTGGGGTTATATAAATGGTTGATGTGTGAGAGTTTGGACGTATATATTTCCCGGGTTTTTGAACCACAAGACCTTTTGTCATCTTACAAACCAATTCTAAACGATAACAAACACAATGTTCCATTGTAATGCGAAGACCGGATTAATAACCCCCCCACGTGGAAGGTCTAGAAGGTCTAGATGGTCTGAGGTACCATTCATGAGGTCCACCTCGCCTGAATAATCTGCTCAGGGAGCAATCGTAGTCGTAGTAATAGTAGTGGTAGTAGTAGTTGTAGTAGTAGTAATGGTGGTGGTGGTGGTGGTAGTAGTACTAGTAGTCGTAGTGTGTAGTGGTAGTGGTAGTTGTGGTGGTGGTGGTGGTAGTGGCAGTGGTCGTAGTGGGTAGTGGTAGTGGTAGTTGTAGTGGCAGTGGTCGTAGTGGTAGTAGTGGTAGGAGTAGTAGGAGTAGTAGGGGTAGTGAGGGTAGTGGGAGTAGGAGTAGGAGTACGAGCAGGAGTAGTAGTAGTAGTAGTAGCAGCAGCAGTAGCAGTAGCAGTAGCAGTAGCAGTAGTAGTAGTAGTAGTAGTGGTAGTACCAGGAGTACCAGTAGTAGTAGTAGTAGTAGTAGTAGTGTTAGTACCAGGAGTACCAGTAGTAGTAGTAGCAGTAGTAGTAGTAGTAGTGGTAGTGGTAGTGGTAGTGGTAGTGGTAGTCGTAGTGGTCGTAGTAGTAGTAGTGGTAGTAGTAGTAGTAGCAGTAGGAGCAGGCAGTAGCAGCAGCAGTAGTGGTAGTAGTAGTGGTCACTATAAGTCAAAGGATTGTGTTTAGCTTTTTAGTATGGCAACTTATAGGCCCTGAGCACTAGACATTTTCTTGTGATCTCATCAAAAAAGTAATAGGTAGTAGGTGGTAGGTGGGTGGTGGTGGTGGTGGTGGTGGTGGTGGTGGTGGTGGTGGTGGTGGTGTTCGTGGTGGTGGTGGTGGTGGT